GAGGTAAGGAGTGCCAATAGCGCGCCGAAGATTTCCACTGACCATGATACCACCCTGCGTAGATGATGTCTGGTTATAACTGCACAATTTTTGCCTACGGGCAGACAGGCACCGGAAAGACGTACACGATGTCAGGCGACATGACGGAAACGATGGGCATGCTGTCCGATAACGCTGGCATCATTCCTCGAGTACTTCAAGCCTTGTTCGCTAAGCTCGAGCTGGAGGAGAAGGACCATTGCGTTCGCTGCTCTTTCATCGAGCTGTACAACGAAGAGCTACGAGATCTGCTCGGCACAGACGAGAACACTAAGCTCAAAATTTACGACGACAACTCGAAAAAGGGCCATTCAGCCACGATGGTGCAAGGAATGGAGGAAAGGCATATTCAGAATGCGTCTGATGGTCTCAAATGGCTCCAGGAGGGCAGTTTGAAGCGCCAGGTTGCAGCCACCAAGTGCAATGATCTCAGCAGCAGAAGTCATACCGTGTTTACGATCACACTGTACGCCAAGCGCCAAACTGGCGAAAATGGGGACGATTACCTCATGGCTGGCAAACTGAACCTGGTCGATCTGGCTGGTAGCGAGAACATTCAACGATCCGGAGCAGAGAACAAGCGCGCTGCTGAGGCTGGACTTATCAACAAGAGTTTGCTTACCCTCGGGCGAGTAATCAACGCCCTCGTCGACCGAAGCGCTCATATTCCATACAGAGAGTCAAAGCTCACCCGTTTGCTACAAGACTCACTAGGTGGACGGACGAAGACATGCATCATTGCGACAATATCGCCAGCAAAGGTCAACCTAGAAGAAACGATATCAACACTGGATTATGCCTTCAGAGCAAAGAATATCCACAACAAACCACAGCTTAATGCTTTGATCAACAAGAAGGCCTTGCTGCGAGATTTTACCAGCGAGATTGAACGGTTGAAAGGCGAGCTCATCGCCACACGACAACGAAACGGTGTCTATCTGTCGAACGATGCGTATGAAGAATTGACGGTACAAAACGAATCTCGCAAGATCTTGACGGAGGAGCAGGCTGCCAAAATAGAGACTTTGGAAAACAACCTGCGAAACAAGGTGCAGGAGCTGTTTTCTCTCACATCTAGTTTCATGGGACTGAAGAAGGATCATGAGGGAACGTTAGGGCAACTGGACGATACCAAAGGCATCCTGGAGCAGACCGAAATAGTGTTGGCGGCTACCAGGAAGGGACTGGCGGAGGAGACACATATTCGGAAGGCGCATCAGGCAACGGAGCAAAGGTTAACAGCTGTTAGCAACGAACTCCTTAACTATCTTGGGAGGACAGTTAGCGACGTCGATGGCTTGCACGCAAAGAATCAGCGAAAGTCGGATCTTCACAACTTCAACCGGGAGACATGGAACATAGCACAAGGCCATGTGACGGACATCACGGAGATGGTGGAGAGTCGGATTGCGCAATTTCGGAGAGGGCAAGAAGACCATATTTCGAATATCTCGGGCCGAATGCAAAATTTTGTGCAAGAAGAGCTTGAAAAGCTGACGTCTACGCAAAATTTTCTTGATGAAAACCTCGCTTTGTTTGCCGAGGCCAAGGAGCAGCTGTTGGAACAGAAACAGCAGTCTAAGGAGGAGATGGATGCAGTGCTCGAGGAGATCAAGGTTGTGCGGGACAAAGTGAAGCAAAGGGTCGGCGAGAGTCTACAGGCCATCGCTGGTGCAGCGGAAAAGATTGCCGGTGATGTGCTCAGCGAGTTGAGCACCTTCCACAACCAGCTCCACACTTCGTACAGCACACTCGGGAAGGACTTCAAGGGTATATTTGAGGATCTTTTGGGAAATATCAATGCACAAAAGGCAGAATCTGATAGGCTCAGACAAGAACTCGAAATGGCGACGCAAACAATTGTCGAGTCCAACGAAACAGTGTCGGACAGGATACAAGAGGTCTTGGAGGAGGAAAGAAAACAGGCGGCAATTGAGCGCCAGCAGCTGTTGTCACAGATTACCAAGCTCATCAACTCCCAAGCTCAACTTCAAGAGTCACGGTTGGTTGACAAGGCGTCAATCATCCAGGAGAGTATCAAGGACACAAATAAGACGTTCAAGAGCGACGTAGCTGGTTACAGAGAGGGCATGAATGCATGGAATGCCAAGGATAGCCAGCTCCTGGAGGAGATTGCTCAGTCAAGAGATGTACTCAAGACCAGGCTTAAGGATGACTGGACGGTAAGTCTTCTTCTGAAAGCTAGAACTGTGTTGTTACTAACAATATTTAGGCTGCGAATAAGCACAGTACATCAATCCAGGAAACGACCAAATCGGTTCACGCAGAGACTGTTCGTGTTGTCGACGAGCAGTTGCAGGATCTGAACGTTCAAATGCAAGACCTTGACGACTTTGTTACCCGCGCCAAATCCTGCAATGCTGAGCAGAGCGAGCACCTTTCCGAGGCCGTATCTAGTCTGAATAACACTGTCGAGCAGTCTTTCGACAACATTTCCGGACATTGTAAGGAGACGTTCGGCAGAGTTGAGGACGTCGGCCAGCAGATGGAAGTCGATGTCCAGAGGTTCCACGACGCCCTCGCGCCCCTCGACGAAGAGGTTATGCAGCCACTCTCAGATCTCAGAGAGGACATTAGAGCCACCGACCTCAAGGAATACGAGCCGACGGGCACCACTCCCCCAAAGGTCCACTATCAGTATCCAACCGAACTCCCTCAAACGGCCGACTACGCAGCCTTGCTTGCCGATATGCGTGATGCCCCAACACCGAGCAGAGCTGTCCCCGTCAGCAGCGTTCTACCCAACATCAGCTTCACACCCCCATCAGCTGTTAAAACACCCTCCCGCCTGCCAATAGGAATGAGCTCGCCCAGTCGTTATTCCGAAAGCGCCAGCAAGATCCCTCCAGGCGGGAGTCTACGAGAGGTCAATCCCAACGTACCATCCAGCGCTACAACCTCCCACAACGCCCCAGTTTTCGATGCTGCATCTAGTGTCTTGTCGCTTCCCACTGTTAAGGAGGACGGGGATGGCGATGTGACGATAACCAAGCTGAAGGTCCCGACTGCCACTGGTCCGGCACGGACGAGGTCGTCGAGGCTAGCTAGGAAGCCGATGGGCGGTGTGGGTCAGGGGCCAGAGAATATTCCGCCTCCTGCGGCTGCGTTGAGAAGTTCGACTCGGAGGAAGAGCCCGCGGTTGAGGTGATTTTAATTATCATTCATTTTCTTTTCTTTTGTTGTACTAGTTTCTTGTATGGAGTTGAGGGATATGGGTATTGAGGGTTACTCAAAGGATGAAACGAAGTAGGGTTGGAAGCCGGGAAGAAAAGCAAACAAGAGTTGTTGTTGGCTACTATCATGGGCTAGGATTGTATATGGGTTTTTTTTTTCACTCGAAGCAAAGCAACTGATACCCCCTCTTGTCATATTGATAAAATTGCACTTTTGTGTGGTTGGGTTATAAATAAGAGAGACGTTTGTATATATATATTTTCTGTCAGTCTGGACTGTTCACAAGTCAAGTCACTTCTGTTCCTTTTCCAACTCGGCAAACTGTCTCTTCACCTCCTCCGCAAAATCACCCAAGGTCTCGAAGGTCCACTCGAACCCTAACTTCCCCTCGCGGGACAGCTCTTCCAGGTTACCTCCAGTCCCGTAATTCTTGGGATCAGTCCCTCCCCTGGCAATGAATACACTCCTCAACCCGATCTCCTTCGCCGGGACGTGATCAGCCGTCAAGCTCCTCGCTACGTGCAGCAGCCCCCCCTTTTCCTTATCAACACCCAACTCCTCTTTTGCATGTTGAAACAGATACCGAAAGTTATTCAGACTTGGTTTATAACTCCCGATCTTCTGGGCAGTGTACACGGCATCAAACTTGACCTTTCCCTCCAACGAGTTGTCTATCGTTGAGACGATGTTGTCGTCGTTGACATTGGACAGGATGATGAGTTTGTAGTGCTTGGCGAGGGTCTGGAGAGCTGCGATGGTATCTGGGAAGGGGGACCAGCGGCCGGGGCCGGTGCCGGCGTTGAGGGCGTCTTCCTCGTTAAAGGGGACGTCAACCTCGCGGGCGAGGAGGCGGAAGCACTTGGTTAGGGTGGAGTTGTAAGGGAGGGTGGGTTGGGTTTCCCAGAGGTGGACTTGGTGGTCGTCGAAGCGCTGGACAGCGGAGAGGGGGGTAGCGCGGAGGGTGTGAGAGGGGGAAAGCTGGGAGGTGATGGGGGATAGGTCGGTAGTGAGACCGGCTTCCCAGTCTATGAGGGTGCCGTAGCAGTCGAAGGAGAGGGCTCTAAAGGTGGTGAGGGGTGGTGGTGGTGTCATTTTGTGCGATTTGGTGTTTTGTGAGCTTTGAGTCTGATGTGTGGAAGTTGGGAGTTCGATGAGTTTAAAGGTGTGTGAGATTTCACCAAATGGACTATGGGAGTCCTCTTATACAGAGTGAGAAGAAGAGGTGAAGATGATGTAGATCTCATGTGTTACACTTACTGTCGATCATTACAGGTCCACCCGCACTATCACCGAGGGGTCCAGTTGGATTCAAAAGAAGGGCGCACTTAACCTGATTTGGGCCGGCGAGCAACAGTCTTGCAGTTTGCATCATTAGCTTTCACTTTGACTGGCCGGCCGACTCATACTTGCCTTCCTGTTCCGGCTTCAACGTTTCTGATAATTGCGGGCTCGGGCTCTACCTTGATGGCAAAATGCGTCCTAAACCTTTCCATAACCTCCACGGTGTTAACCGGACATACAACACCAACCATGAACACGGAGATAAAGACCCTCCATTCTCAGCAAGGCGCACCCATTTCAATCTTTCACATCATGACATCTGTTCACAACATCTACTTTCATACGATCATTTCATGAAAGTCACATGTCGTCCCCGTAGAGAGTGGAATGGAAACGAAAGGACCCCCCCACCCACCTCACTTACACCTTCCTCCTGTTGTCAGTCTTGAATGCCATCACGATACTTCAACTCCAACAAACCATAAGGTGAGATGGCCGAGCGGTCTAAGGCGCCACGTTAAGGTTCTCCTTAATTAACATCTTCCAGCAAGATTCCGTGGTCCGAAAGGGCGTGGGTTCGAATCCCACTCTCATCATTCTCTTTTGTTGCTGTCTCTATGAGCACGTCTTTTTAGCCGTTTCCACTGGTGTCCTGAACTGACTCATGACTGGAATGTGTGTTGGTGTGATGGCGCCAACATATTTCCTGTCGGGTTACTGAGAGCTTGGGGAGGAACTGGCGATCATAACTAAGATACGTGGGCAAGTAGTGATCAGGTCAAATTCAAGGAGCTACCAGATCAATGAAAAAATGCGGCTTGTCTACATAGATGTATCTTTGCTTCTGAGTACTTTTGAGGGGAATCACCTCGTAATCCTTTCTAACCCAAAGTTCAACCGTAAACGCCATGTTGTGCCACTTCATAGTTCATCAAATACGCTCGACAGAAAAGCCCCAGCGGCACCCAAGCCACCCATTGTAAGAACTGGCTGCTCCCAACGTTGTACCAATGCTCCAACCCGTGGCAAGGTCCGCCAATACCAGATAGCAGCGCCCATCGTCAATGTTGCCATCCCAAGTCCAGTAAACACAAGACTATCCCAACTAGGCGCCTGTTTTATGCCCTTGTATTCCAGCAGTTCCCTCCTCCTCCTCCCAGCCCACCATCTCCTCCACACTTCACCGATCCACGGCACTTCATACATAACCCCGTGCCCCAGTCTTCGGTGAAGCTTAAGTCCAAAGCTGTGTGCCTCCGTCCCCTCCTCAACCCAAGGCAAGCTCTCCCATCCCCTTGGACCAGCACCGAATGTTCCTCTTCCAAAGTCTTCCACGAATTCAACTAGCCCCTGATACCTTTGTCTCGTCACCTCCGCCAACCACCTCCTCGGCACGCCCTCATCAACGATCATCAAACTAACCCATCCCAACACTGCACACCTAGCTCCCACCGTCAACTTCACCCACTCAACCTCCGCAATAACATCCAACACATCCCTTGCCAATCCCTCAAGCCTAATCCTCCTCTTATCCTCCGGCGCCATAAACTCCCCGACACTATTCGGCCCCCTCGTCAGACTAGCCGGAATCGAGATCCACCCCGCCCTACTAGCAGCGGCAGCTTCTTGCTCTTCCTTTTCTGTCTCGACGTCGGTGTCAAGTGATGACATGCCTAAATGTTCAGCCCGAGCCGACATTGTCTGGCGGAGCTGGGCTGGTTCTGTCCATGGCAAGGGCATGGGCAAGATCTTGCTGTAGGCTGGGCGGGTGCTGGCTGCCCAGTTGGCAGAGGAGACGTAGAGGTAGAGGGCTATGAGGGGGGTTGCGTTGGTAGAGAGGAAGGTGGTGTAAGCTTTGCTGTCGGCTTGGATGCTGGGTGTCGCGGATGGGAAGGTGGCATCGTGGAACGAGGGAGGGGGTTGGGATTGGAGGTGGCGAAGGATGGAGGTGTAGCCTGAGATCCAGGTTCGAGTGGAAGGGTCGTGGAGGGCGGGGAGGTGGTCTGTTTGTTTGTGGGAGTTAGTTACAACTTCTTAGAAGAGAGAGGAAGACAAAGGATAATCGTACGGGTTGGTACAGCTGAGGGGCTGGATTGAATAAGCTGGTAGTCGGCTTTACTTGTGGTCTGGGCGAAGTAGGCAATGGCGGCAATACACTCTGCGTCGATGGACGGGAGCCCGAAGGCTGGGCCCCAGACGTAAAGCTGGAGGGTCATGGTACTGATTTTGAAATGTACACGCCCAACGGTCGCAAATAATTACGTCGCGCACTTCAATGTCCAACAGCTTGGAACGTGTTGGGAGAATGCACGTCCTCACGTGGCGATAAGAGGTTGCCCCTCCATTAAGGGTCCTGTTGAAAAGTGTTATCGATAAGATTTTGGATGATCTGGAAATTTTCCAGAACACCAGCCCTTCGATTTCGGAAATCGAAATTCAAAATGTGGGGAAGATTTCGTTCCCGCTGCTGCCGCTGTACCCAACAACTCCACCAGCACCACCGGAAGAGATCATCGGCACCAGATGCATTGTCAGCAGCATGAACCCCAATTTCACTCGTTTCAGCATCCCACACTTTCTCTCCGATCTCGTCCTGTCATTCTTGTCAACTTGAAGCGATGCGCGTGATCAACATCAAACTAGACTCCGTAAACAAAATACCTCAAGACCTCTGGTCGGCAGAAACCGAGTTTCATATGCTCGAGACCGCATCAATCACAGCTGCCAGAACGCTGTCAATGACGTACTCCCCTTCTTGTCAGCCACTTCAACCCCTGGTCTAGCCTCTTTTCTCTTTCTGCTTGTCGCTTTTGTTGCGCCTCGGCAAAACCAACATGGCTGGGCAACTTGAGCATTGATTACCGCCGAGCCCAAAAGTTCCGACAGACAAGAAGCAAACTCTCCTAAAGAAAGAAGCGCCCCTTTCCCAATAGGGGTAAAAAAAAGAATCGTTCCATTTTCGACGAAGTTCATTTCCATTTTCGTTCAGCTCACCATCATCTGGCCATGCCTCATCAAGACAAGACTCAATCTCGTGAGCACAAACCACCCCCAGGAAAATGGTCAGTCCCAGAGTCTTGGACAGCTCTTGGTATCATCTCTCTCTCGCAAGTCGCAAGCCAGAGGAGGATGGGACATCATCCCCGAATTCCGTTCCCGTTTGCGGGCCACGTTGCGCCCGAATCTATCCGCTACCCGAGACCAGATGCTCCATTCACAAGTTCTTAAACCCTCGCCATGCTGATCCTACGGAGCATCAAATGGATGGTTGGGCTTGGCCCTTCGGATGCGGGGGTTGGTGGACGATGCTACTGCACGAAATAATTTCACAAACATGCAAGGTCATGGTCTCAACAACCTCAACATCAAGCCACTTTTGGTCATTGAAGAGTTAAGTAAAGTACGATGCGTGGGATGATGTCGTCGTGTCCTTGGGAATCACACTCATGTTTGAATTATACCCGACCCAACCAACCCGAGCCGACCTCGCCGGGAAATTGCAACAGCACACACAGCCTCTTTGGTGGCGGTCGTTTCTTGTTCAGAAGGAGGGAAAGCAACGAGAGAGAGCAACAACAAATGCCGCCCGATCGGCCGATATGCCCGCTGTCCGATGGCCGATCTCGTCTGCCTGGGAACTGTATCCACGTGTGAGCTGTTGTGGAAAGAGGAAAAATGAAAGGCCCCTCTTTGGCATGTGCTTGTGAGAGGACCCATTCATGAAAATGATATCGCGCACTGGCGATATCTTCCTAGCCTCCTATTAAGCCTCTGGTCTACCGTCTGACGAATACGACGATATCCGTCCTCAGCTTGTTGCGTAAGCATAGGAGGAATAGTGCTCCTCTTTGATATCATGTCATCCCTCAAATCCATCCAAGTCCGGAGCTATTGCCAATGTCATAGTCCAAACGTCACGGTCTAAGGTTGTAGATGAAGCCATTTGATCTTGATCGCCCGAACCCCTCCCTCTCCTCCACTTGTTGTTCAAAAACAGACCAAGCTTGCGAATACCGGCTTGTGGGTTGGGTATCGTAAACCGCTTTTTTGCCCGTATCTCGGTGGCTTCCCCTCCTTGACTTCCGGTCCTTTCCCCCTCCTTGGCTCGTAGCATTGTTGCGAGTCGTGTGAGGGACATGCCCTTACCCCTTCCGCTACCATTCAATAAACACAGTCGAGTAAACTCCAGGCACGCGAGCCTGAAGTCGCCATTTTCCCCCACACCAACAGAAACCTGCAACAAGAAAAGGAAGAAAAAAAGAGCATATTGTGGGTTGCCGCCAAATGCGCGCCATAAGTTCATAATGATGCAAGCCAATGTTGCAATAACAGCGGGGAAGGTGAAAAAGAAGAGGAGCACCCCCCCTCTCACACTTACACGCAACTCCACATGAGACCTCAAAGTCTCAAACAGGATGAACACAAGGGGTTTGGACGAACCAAGAGGTAGCAATTACTACTCTCAACTGAGCCCCCCACGCGCCTACACCGCAGCAGTTGTTGTGCGGTAGCATTGCCAAATAGTAAGAACCAAGATGAGGTTGATTTGGAAATGCATGTCATGGGTCGATGAAATTCGGGGTATATGGATGTGGATGTGGTTGAATTTGTCGGATTTCCGCTTTCTGTTGTTCTTGCAGCAGGGCAGGTTTGCGCTTCGGTCCGTGTGTGATCTATGGAGTCCAGAGTTAGCGCCGCTGGCAGAATGAGACATTAAAGCAAACAGTTTGGCGACTCATGAACATTGAAATGTTGGGCACAAATGCATAAAATAAGATCTTTTGTAAAATGGGGTTTGGTAATGGATAGTTTCTTGCGTCTTGTATTGTGTGTGCGCGCGTAGCTATTGTTATCGCCCATCTGCCGCTCTCATTCATGAATGAGAAAAGCGAAACCAGAAAACTACAACTCCAAAAAAAAAAAAAAAAAAAACTGTCATGATGAAAACTCATCATCCCCGTCATCATAATTCTCCTCGCCTTCACATTCCCCTCATTCTCTTTCCATTGTGGGGTATCGGCGACCAATTGATAAAAACTCATGTGCGCCGTTTCCCAAAATGCCCCCTTTGATTCGTAGTAGTGGTGGTAGTACAGTGGTGTGGAAATCCTTCTAATAATCCCCGAGTTGTTGTGTGTGTGCGATAAAAATTCATTCGTAACATTGGAAATCTTGCATGTCGTGTCGCGGTAGTGGGCAGGAAAAACGAGGACCCGTTGATTAAAGTCGATATGTTGTGGTGGTATTACAAAGTGATGATAAATTGTTGAAATCCGTCCCGGAGTGGTCGTCCGTCAGATGCCGAAAAGCCGAAGATGATAAAACAAACAGAAAGTGTAAAAGATCGAAGTGTGGATGCCTCCCAATGAGCCGGCTCTCGGGTGGAAGGATGGCGAGACAGTTCTTGTCGTGGTATGCAACTGAACTGAAGGTGGTGGTGGTGCCAGAAAAAGGCCCGCAATGGTACACAGCAAGTGCGGTAGTGTTGAGGCAGCTGGAAAAGAAATGCTGGTAGACCAATCAGGGCGAGGGCCTTTGGTGGAGACGGTTGAAATGGCTGTGGTGCATCATGCACCAAGCACGATGGCGTGCAGTT